AATTTTTCCTAATAAACATTCGTGGTACAAAGCTCAATAAAAATATTAAAAATAAAATGTTAATAAGCCACAATAACATTACAAATACATCACATGCAAATTTATGAGTAAGCCGAACATGTGAGGAGTTTATTTAGTGCTCTTAAAAAATATAACTCCTCAGAGCGGAATAGTCCTTTCATGGCTTTAAAATTTGCAAGTGTGTAATCACATTATTTTAATAAATGTAACACAAGAAAATATTTTACTTTTATTTTTGCCACTCCGAGTTTAGTTTTGGAACTCACCCGCGATGCAGAATTACATCGTTAGATTTAATCTTCACATTTTTTGATGAGCTTTGGGAATGTTAGAAATGACAATCAGGGGGGTCCACCGAAACCAGTAAAGTTGTGAAAGGGGTCTACGAAAAAACTAAGTTTGGGAGCCTCTGGTGTAATTTATTCATAAACTATTTATTATAAAAAAATTATGCAGGCAATTAAACTAGGACCGCCGAATTGGCGAATATACCGGTCTTCGTGGTCCGTATAAAATAAATATAATACAAATGAGGGTATGCGTTAAAAAGAACAACAGCAAAACAAAAGCTTTGTGGATTTTCAACTCATTCAATTGGATAGTTAAATACATATGTTCTAAGAAAACAAAAAATCAACCCATATTTATAAACTAGTATTACTTTTGGTTTTCACTACTCACCGATAATTATACTAAAAAACTGTTCGATGATGCTGAGTGCTACATTTTCGTATAAGAAATAAGTCAGCTTAACTTTGAAGCCCTTGATAAAATTAATGGTATTTGTGTGCGAGTCAGCGTGTGTGTGACTGAAAATCTTCTTCAACCAATTGATCACAGTGTCATCGAGCCACTAGAAATATACGTAAAAGAAATCGTCAAACCTTTGCACTGCAAGCATCCTTAATATATTTTAATCTTAATAATTTTATAAATAGTCTTATTAATACCAGGTGATTTATTTCCCTCTGAGGTAAGAAAGTGTGTAAATAAAAAAAGTTAATAGTAAAAAAATATCTTTTTTTTTTAATATGAACGAAATTTAACCATAAGTACGGGTTCTCCACACATCTCGACTCCTGCGCGACTCATCGGCAAAATTTTTTTGTGAAGTTTATCATTTATATGTAAGTAATATATGTACGGTCAGTGTCAAATGTAAGTGAACACCTTGTTCTAATATAATACTCACAATTATTTTCATGATTTTTTTTTTCATTAATTATTTATATATAACATTAACCATATAAATCAAAGTTTCACACTTTATATAAAGTTCACAAAAATTCAAACAACTTTCATTAAAATTTCAAAACTTTTATTCAGAATTTGTACAAAATTTTCGAGTATGCAGTTTTGTAACGCTTGATTAAATTCAGGGTATGCAATTGCTTGATTATTTTCAACACATATTCGACATATGTGACCTGGTCTACGGAAAGGGGGCTTAGGTGTCAAAAAATCAATTTTCACTTTTTGGTTGATTCGGATGGAAGATGAGATGCTTTTTCACGTGGTGAAAAGCAGAAAATCCTAACTTGCTTAGAAGTACGAAAACGTCACTTCTTCAGTGTTACTTTTTTAAATGTTCCACACTAGCAACTTACACGATGAACTAATAATAATATTCCGACCAACAACAACATGAGATAATGAGAAACTGACGAAACGAGTTGCTTACTTTTAACAGCTTTTTCACAGAAAACTAGTTTTCGCACGTAAGCTCCCTTATCGTAGATCAGGTCACATATAAAAAAAATCCCAAAATTTTCATCTTTACACATTCATGTTTCTGGCATGCGGGGGACGATATGTACTTGCCGATTTCTTTTACAAAAATTATTTAAAAATCAGACGTCTCGGTTGCTCAGCAAACCGGTTAATCGTTTCTGCAATTATTTCACATTGATTCTCTAAAACACATTTTCGATGTATTCTTAAAATGCAGAAACCTAAAGGTAAATTTTATAGAAAATTGAAGTAACAATTTATTAAAACTAGTAGTAACCCCCGAAATACGGGTGAGCACTTAGCTCAAAATTTATTTAAAGAACTTCGTGAAAGACAACAATTAATCTTGTATTGCTAGTGTTGTTCCGATACGAGTAACTACAAGTAATTACTCGATACTTTCTTCAAGTACTGAGTACTTTTTGTACTCGAATCCTTCCCGCAAGTACTTAGGTGGGTATCGAGAACGCGATTAAAGTATTACTTGCTTTTCCAAAAATTCTGAATTTCGGTTCTGACAATATATGAATCATGCTGTTGTGGTTTTTGCACCATGTTAAGTTGGCTAATAAAGAAAGTGTAAGTTCCTGCTTTCCCGTACTAGGCAATTATTAAAATTTTGCAAGATACAAACTTGTGGCACCTTTTTCGGAAAGTTTTGGTCGGAGAGTACTCGAACCGATTCTGTTTTTCTTCACATGACATAAGTGTTTACACTGAGTTCGATATGAGTAAGTATCGAGTACTTCTTTCCGATACATTTGTGGCATCGATACTTTTCTTCAATATTTTTAAAGAGTACAGGTATCGAGTACAAGGTCGTATCGGAACAACACTATGTATTGCTAGACACCTGATAACCCAGGATAATTTTTAAGTTCTTAAAAGACATTACTCTACTCTAAGCTTCGTGCAGTGGGCCATGAGAAAACCGTTATCTTTAAGATATAGTCCAACCTTTCACAATATCTGGTATTAGTCTTAATCTGAAACGCAATCATTGAAAATTTGCGCCGTTTATGGTGAAAAACGTTTAATATCACACTTTCAAACTAAAGCTTTCTTAACCCTAGAAGCCTAATCTATTTGGGAGTAACGTAAGGCCTTAACATACGCCTTAGAGGCTTATGTACTTAAAAGATAACCTGTGAGCTAAAATATACTTAGTCCTGTCTTATTTTTTTAAAGAATATTGAAGTTGTGAGTTTGACTAATAATAAAACATAGTTTTATTAATAAAACTATAACCACATTTATTTAAAACAACAAAATAAAAAGTAAATTTTGTGTTAAAATTAAAAAAAGACCCATTCCGTATACGCCTTGCAGACGTAGATTATACTTTTGGGGTTAACCTCAGTACAAAAATTCAACCACTGGTCTAAAAAATTTAAAATATGTATACCGGCTAATTTTGGATCGTTCATTTTAAAAATCACAAACAAAAATGTGTAAAGCTTTGATGTTTGCGGCCATTCAGGGTCCTTTTTAATGGTCAGTGATATCGTAGGTGTTTAAAAAAAGAAAGGGATCTCAGCTATTTTTATTTTTTACTTGCGTGAAATATATTTCAAAACTATGAATAATACCTAATAGCTTTTCCGAATCTCGATTCCACGGAAATATGATTAATATTTTTCAATAGATTATATTACTCACTATCGACTTTTCTGCCGCTTTTTACTTTTTTGACAAACACGGTCAACTGCAACTGCAGCTTGCACTTTAGTTTGATATATAGCTCAATTTTGTGGCTGCTACAGATCGGCCTAACTAAGTCGTATGACTGAGCGATTATATATAGATACTAAAGGTCTGAACTACAAAACATAGCGACATGTAACACATCATGCAAATGCCAGTTTATATCATGCCGCTTATACATGTTTGAAAGTGATATATGAAGACACTGCCGAATGAATTCAAATCAAATCATGCATCAAATTTATGCATGTCAACAAAAGGAACACATGCGACATATTCAACATTATTATTTACATTGTATATATCTACGGGAAGAGATTTTCCGAAATTTGCAAGCTTCTACTATTAATTTATTAAACAATTATCTAATTAAAAATCTATATACATTTTCATACAAGGCAGGATTAAACAGTATTAAAAATATGCTGCAGAAACACAACAGCAAACAACAGCTGAGCTAAGAAGCAATGACATGCTATAACTAACGGGTGATTTTTTTGAGGTTAGGATTTTCATGCATTAGTATTTGACAGATCACGTGGGATTTCAGACATGGTGTCAAAGAGAAAGATGCTCAGTATGCTTTGAAATTTCATCATGAATAGACTT